GTTACTTGCCAGTTAAATGTGTAGTCATCCTCCATTTTGTGATCTAATGTGGTCCTCCACCATTGTCTCTTTACGTCAATTTCTGTACAGTATCAATTTTCACATAGTGACTTGGTCTTTGGAACCTAAACATACTGACAAATAATAAGAAAAGATGTGCACAGCATCATAAATTCTCACCTAATAATTAATTTTTCCCACTAGACTGTTACTCTCTCCAAGACAACTGATGGTGGTTATGTGCCATGGAGTTGGTTCTCATAGGGACCCTGTACAGGGTTTCTGAGGCTGTAAATCTTTACAGGAGCAGAAAGCTTCATCTTTCTCCCATAGAATAACTGGTAGTTTCGAATTGCTGACCTTGCGGTTTCACAGCCCGATTCATAACCACTATACTACCAGAGCTCCAAGATAAGTACATAATTCAGATATGAATTATTATTATGTGTGACTCCATGCCAGAACACAGTGCTTGGCACACCACAAGTGACCAGTGAAAGTGCTTTAGATGGGCAATTGAAGGAATGGATGAACTTTGGGGAACAAGTCTTCTGCCAGAGTTTAAATTTACCACATCAAAATGGTCTTTTTCTCAAGGAGCATTAAGATGCAGGACCCAATAAACAAGCCAGCACCCAGTGTGATTTTCCTGAAATCTCTTCCGTAGTAGCTGTATGGCAGATAACACCTTATCTCTGCTTGGCTCCTAGTAACCTTGTGAGAGATGTCTGAGAGGGTTAATAGCAGGCACTCCACCTGCCCTGGTAGTGTCAGGCACTGCAGTGATTAATACATACAGCAAACGTTTCCTTGCCAAAGCTTAGTTGATCCAATCTAAAGAATCTTTCAGAGAGGTCTTCTTAATTATAATGACATGGTGTAAACATAAGAAGAAAGAATGTCAGGTATCACTTTGTATAATAACAGTGTTAGTGCTCATGCACATAAATTATAAGCAAGTTTACCTACTTAAAAGCAAGAAAGATGCTCAGTTTTGCAATTTAAAACTTTTAAATATGCCACATTTAAAATTTATGTCATTACAACTAGTAGAAGTCAGTAATCACCACTAAAAATGCATATTCTTGAACAGTTGATGAACTGCTCATAGGAATTCTTTTAAAAAATCATTTGAAAGGGGCAAAAATGAGAGGCATCTATATTATGTTTACCTCTCCACATTCTAGACTTATCCAACTTGATTTGAATGTCTATAATGTAACAATCATCAGGAATTCTTTCAGGCTGCCTTGATAAGTATGGTAGCTAGTAGTCATCTCTGGCAATTTAGATTAAAATTTTAAATAAAATTTCAATTTCCCAATCACACTAGCCACAGTACAAGTGCCCGGTAGTCACACCGGACTAGAGGTACCTTGTGGACTGTGTAGAATAGAACATTTCTATCGTCACAGAAAATTCAGTTTGACAGTGTTGCTCTAGGGAAAATTAGTGCTTATGATCCATATTTAGCTCTGTAATCATACCATCAGAATGACAGGGCCTTATCTAGAATTTTGGGGAACATCTATGTTTACCTCTGTTGAGAAAAACATTGAAAATACCAGGGAGTGAGTCAGGTGAACTTTTGTCTTGTTATCTCTTTGCCATTTAACATTTTAAAGAAGTCTTTGCCATAGATTTGCTTAATACAATACATCGTTTGATTTCTTGATGAGGAGGTAGAAGAGCTGATCAAAAATTTCAAAAGGAAGTTCAAAAAGACAGAGTCAAATATTATAATGAAATGTGAAAAAAAAACCAGAGTTAGAAAACCAAAAGGGAAAGACATACTTAGGGTTTCTCAAATTGAAAGAACTAAAGAAAAAATGCAAGCCTCAACTTGAAATAGTGAAAGATTCCATGGTTAAATGTTGAATGATGCAGAGAGCATCAAAAGAAGATGTAAGGAATATACAGAGTTACTGGACCAAAAATAAATGTTTGATGTTCAGCCATTTCAAGAAGTAGCATATGATCAACAGCCAGTGATACTGAAGGAAGAAGCCCAAGGTGCATTGAAGGCATTGTCAAAGAATAAGGCTTCTGGAATTTTTGGAATATAAATTAATATCTTTCAACAAACTGCTGCAGCACTGGAGGTTCTCATTCATCTATTCCAAGCAATTTGGAAGACAACCAACTGGCGAACTGATTGAAGAGATCCATATTTGTGCCCATTCCAAAGACAGGTGACCCAGTGGAATGTGGAAATTATCAGACAATGTAATTAATACCACATGCAGGTAAAATGTGGTTAAAGATAATTCAGAAATGCTACAACAGAACATTGACAGTGAACTGCCAGAGTCAAGCTGGATTGAGATAAGAAAAGAGGTAATATTGCTGACATAAGATTGATCATGGCTGAAAGCAGAGAATACCAGAAAGAAGTTTACCTGTGCTTTATTGACTATGCAAACGATTTTGGCTGTGTAGATCATGACAAGCTATGCATATCATTGCACAGAATGGGTATTTCAGAACACTTAATTGTGCTCCTGAGAAACTTGAACACAGACCTAGATGCAGTTGTTTGAACAAAATAAGGGGGCACTGAATGGTTTAAAATCAGGAAAAGTATGAACGATGGTTGTATTATTTCAACATTATCTATCCAATCTATATTCTGAGAAAATAATCTGTCATAATTCAATAATTTGCCCAGTGCATCTTTCAATAACGAAAGTCAAGGCTTGAATTTTTTCTTCAGTTCCCTCAGCTTGAGAAATGCTGAGCATGTTCTTCCTTTTTTTGTTTTCTGATTCCAGATCTTTGCACATTTTGTTGTAATTATTGGCTTTATCTTCTCGAGCTGATCTTTAAAAATGCTGTGTTCAGCTCTTGGACCTCCTCATTTCTTCCATGTGCTTTAGCATCTCTACACTGGAGAACAAATTTCAGTATCTTCTGACATCCATTTTGACCTCTTCCTTTTTTCTTGTCTTCTCAATAACTTTTTGCTTTCTTCATGTCTGATGTTCTTAATGTCATCCCACAACTCTTCTGGCTTCGGTCTTTAGTGTTTAATGTATCAAACCTGTTCTTCAGATGATCTCTATACTCAGGTGGGATATATTCAAGGTCATATTTTGGCTCTCGTGGACTTGTTTTAATTTTCTTCAGCTTCAGTTTGAATTTGCATATGAGTAATTGATGGTTTGTTCCACAGTCTGCCCCTAGTCTTGCTTTCACTGATGATAGGAAGCTTTTCCATCTTCTCTTTCCACAGATGTAGTCAATTTGATTTCTATGTAGTCCACCTGGTGGGGTCCATGTGTCTCTTAGGCTGTCTAAAGAAGGTATTTGAAAGGAACAAATCACTGATTTTTCAGAATTCTATCATGCGTTCTCCAGCATCATTTCTATCACCAAGGCCATATTTTCCAACTACTGATCCTTCCTCTTTGCTCCCAACCTTTGCATTCCAATCACCAGTAATGATCAATACATCTTGATTGCATGTTTGATCAATTTCAGATTGAAGAATTTGTAGAATTCTTCTATTTCATCCTCACTGGCTTTAGTGGTTGATGTGTAAATTTGAATAATAGTGGTATTAACTGGGTTTCCCTGTATGCGCATGGATATTATCCTATCACAAACAGCATTGTACCTCATGACTGATCTGGATATGTTCTTTTTGACAATGCATGCAACACCATTCCTCTTCCATATATCATTCCCTGCATAGTAAACCATGTAGTTGATTCAAAATGGCCAATACCAGTCCATTTCAGCTCACTAATGCCTAGGATATTGATGTTTATGCATTCCATTTAATTTTTGAAAACTTCCAATTTTCCCAGATTCATACTTCATACAATTCATGTTCTGATTTTCAATAGATGTTTACAGCTGTTTCTCTTCGTTGTGAGTTGTGCCCCATCAGCAAATTAAGGTCCTGCAGGCTTTTCTCCCATGGGCTTTAACCTTCCAACCTGAGGAGCTCATTTTCCAGCACTGTATCTGACAGTGTTTTTCTGCTATTCATAAGGTTTTCAGTGACTAAATATTTGAAAGTAGTTCGTCACTCTTTCTTCCTAGTCTGTCTTTGTCTGGAAGTTCATCTGTAACCTGTCTACCATGGGTGACCCTGCTGGTATTTAAAATGCCAGTGGCATAGTTTTCAGAATCACAGCAACTCACAAGCCACCACAGTATGACAAACTGAGTATATAACATAATCTTATTTTTATGTGAAAGTTGGACAATGGATTAAGAAGACCTTAGGAAAATTATTGCATTTGAGTTTTGGTGTTGAAGAAGAATATCAAAGTTACCATGGACTGCCAGAAGAACAAAACAAATCTGTCTTGGAAAAGGTGTAGTCAGAATGTACCTTATAATTGAGGATGGAGAGGCTTCGTCTGTCATATTTCTAACATTATTAGGAGGGACCAGTCTCTGGAAAAGGACATCATCCTTAGTAACATAGAAGGTCAGCAAAGAAGAGGGAGGCTGCTAACAAAATGAATAGACACAGTGACAGCTACAGTGGGATCTAGAATAACAATAATTATAAGGCTGGTGCAGGACTAGGCTATGTGTGTAGGGTCACTATGAATTGGAATCAACTAAATGGTCCGTACCAACAACAACAACAAAGATTAGAGATGAAACTCACTCTTGTCCTTTCCTTATCTGTTTTGGCTTGTTATTTATTTTGTCATTTTATTCTAAATCGACTGTAACAGTTTTACTTACTGACATTTTGAAAGCACAAGACTTCAAAGTATTAGTTTAAACCTGAACTCAATCCTTTGTATTCTAATCCACTGGCTTTTAAGTTCCTCTGTTTATAAAAGTATTAACTCAAAACAGTCTTGGCTGAGTTCCTGTGCCCCTTCACAGGATTCAGGGTTTGAAGAGCCTAAGTGAATACTAGAGCTTATCACCAAGTATCTGACAGTGCATACATCAGAAGGGTTTATTGGATAAAGATGCAATCTTGGTCCATCTGCTCCAGGTATTTTATCACATTCTTATTCTTTTTGCAGATCACCTACAAAGCAGTCAGTTCCTTTGACCCAGAAATTGATTTATCCAATCAAAGTGGAAGAGTTTCAAAACTGGGAAATGAAACCCATTTTCTCTTTTTTGGACTGTATCCGGGGACCACATACTCGTTTACCATCCGGGCCAGCACAGCAAAGGGTTTTGGACCTCCATCAACAAACCAGTTCACCACCAAAATATCAGGTATCATTATAAATGTGTGAGATGTATCTTTTATCAGAAATTATATTTCTGTACTTTTTCATTCTCATTGTCAAGTACACATTCTTATTCAAATTAATACTGTGGGTGCCTTAAAATCAGGCTCATAGAACTGATATACTTAAAATATTTATAATTTGGGAGCACATGATTTTTATGTGTTTAGGAAGTAGCGACAGTTTTAGACATTTACATTGAAGCACTTGGACCTGAAGCAGAAGCTTCTGTCCAGTGCACTCTCATCCCTGTACAAGTTACTAAAGCAGCAGCTTTGGAAGACTGTCCGTAACAAGCCGTGAATGATTGACAGCTCAGCACAAAGGCATCATCATATGGAATTTGCTTCCAGAAGGATCTACCTTCCTTGGGGCACTCCCTAATTGTAGTTTCGTGTTCTGAAGAAAGAGGCGACCCAGAGGGTTGGCAACAAACACTGATGATCTTCAGTTCTTGCTTTTAGCGACTCAATTACACCAACCAACAAAAGGCATAATTTGAGAAATATTTCCGGGCATGTGCAACTGTGCAGAAAATGTCTTTGTGCTACAGACTAGAGGAAATGGAGTTGCCATCTGGTGTGGGCTATCTCACAGCAGTAAGCACAATTCCATGGACACTTTCTTTATTCATTTTCTCCCATTGGGTGTGAATGGAGAAGTAAATGTTTGTGTTTGGGCTTTGATCATTTTGGGTTGGGGTAGATATGATGGAGTGGTATAGGGTATAGGGTTTAATCAGTCAAGGTTAGAAAACAATATGTAGACTGATTTTTATACCAATTGCTTCACATTTCTGGCTTTGTAATAGTTGTTGTGGTTAATTGTCATCAAGTGGGTACTGACTCATAATGACCCTGTATAGGGTTTCCAAGGAGCAACTGGTGAGTTTGAACTGTGGACTTTGCAATTCATATGATCTTGTGGTCCAGTGCTTATCCCACAGTGCCACACCAGGACTCCTTTGTAATAGTGGCTGATGGGAATGAAAGGAAGGGAAATAGGTATTGAGTATTCCAAATTGTCTTCTAGGTTTTAAGGGATGGAGATTTGAAATTTTGTTTTTAAGCAGTTATATAAATTGAGGTAATCTTTTATTGTGTAATGTTTTTATTTTTATTGACTAGCAATTTAATACGCTTTGGATATTAAGAAGTCGACTGTAGGAACAATATGTTATTGTTGTTAAGTGCCATCGAGTTGGTTCTGACCCATAGCAACCCTGTATAACGTTTCCAAGGAACAGCTGTAAGCTTGAACTTGAAGTTCAAACAGCTTTGCAGTCTGATGCATTAACTCACAGCACCACACCAAGACTCCTTAGGATCAATATGGAGAGCTGGAAAATAGAAAGCATTTCTTGAGAGGTTAGGAAAAGTAGAAGTTAGAAAAAAGACTAAGGTGTACAAATGGGTGTACAAACTGGTTTGAAATTAGAAAAATTAAGTCTGAATTATAGTTCCCCATGTATTTCCCCTTTGACCTTGATCAGATTAATTTATCCCTGCATGTATCCTAAATATCCTAAGACCTAGTGTATGAATTTTTCATGGGGGTTTAAAAAGCAAATATGTGCCAATGTATATATTTCCAAAAAAAAATTTTTAATGTCTCCTTGGGCCCCATATGTCAAAGATTTTATCATAAAAAGGGTATTCTTTTAGAAAAATAATTCAACTTTCTATTTTTATTAGATAAAAATGATGATCAATGTGACACTGACCACTGTTTTTGCATACCACATCAGTATAATTCAATCTAAACCAAAGAAACTTGACCTTTTAGCTCACCTCTGCAGACTGATCAAGAATACTGTATGATTTCTGTACTTTGAAAATAAAATGATAATCTTTGGGCCTCATTTTGTACTTTCACAGATATAGATAGATAACTAGTTGATATATACATGTAACTCTGTGTTATGAATTGGAGTTCATTTATAATAGAATTGGAATTAATTTTTAATGCTGAGAAAAATCTAATAAATAAAACTGAGAAATGATCCAGGCATCTTATATGTAAGATGATTTCAAAAGCTATATTTTCAAGCAATAGTCATAGCTTTTCTCATCAGACATCACTGCTCTGTTGTTGTTACATACTCGGGGGCCACTTCTGACTCATGGGGACTTTTTATAGGGAGCTCTGTGTAGCACTGCAGGTTAATACTCTATACTGCAAAGTTGGTTTTAATCACAAATTTTGCAGTTCAAGCTCCTTGGAAACCCTATACAGGGTTGCTATGAGTTGGAACCAACTTGATGGTACTTGACAGTAACAACAATAGGGCTTCTGAGACTGTACATCTTTGTAGGAGCAGAAAGCATCTGGTGGACTCAAACTTCTATCCTTGTGGTTCACAGTCCAGTGCTTATCCTATGGAACCACTTAGAGGTTTGTTATAATAAGACCTAGTGCTCTCCGAAGCCACAGCCTCCATATTTGATTTATTCTGTACCTGGCTAGTGATGCCAACACTGTGGAACTATTGTTGCTGTCATATCCTATTAACACTCAGGGACCTAGAGAAGAGGATTAAGCAAGAAGACAGTATTCTGAGTGAAAGAAGTCAATCACAGGATGACAGCTATTGTTTGAGCTCACTTCTTAAAACCAAGCTTCTATAAAAACAAGAAAAGGCAAATGTATACAGAACAAAGGTTATTAGTGGTGGTGGAAAGCAGTGGTAATGGTGATACAAATTTCACATGGATAAACAGGGTTGCAGAGCAGATCACTGTAATTGCTGTTCATAAGTTTTACATCTATAAAAAGTTGAACTGGAAAATTTTGTAGAATAGATGTATTTGCACCCATGATAGCAATAAGAGTAGCTGTGGATACTGCAGGCATACAGCCAAAACCCACATGGGGTTTGCTTCTGGGTTTGGGTCATGGTGTCATGGGACATCTCAGTTGGCCTAATGACGTGTTTAGGAATTTATTCTACCTTCTGGTTTGCTGCATAGTCCTCAAGTCTTAAAAGCTTCCAAACAACCGTCCAAGGCACAATCATTGATCTCAAGTCACCTGGCGCACCAGCGGGATAAGCAGTGTCGCGAATAGGAGGATACGGAGTGTGTGGCTAGTGCCGCCATCTGCCCCTTCTGCCGTGAGACCAGAATTGAATGGTGAAGAATCTTCATCAAAAGTGGAACTACACAGAACAGAATTTGAGATGCTCATGGAGTCAAGACCTCCTGGCGCCATGAAGTTTGAATGAACTCCTGAAACTATTGCCCTGAGAGAGTCTTTAAACCTCAAATAAAAATATCCCCAACGTCTTCTTAAAACCAAACAATGTTGTAAACTGGTAAAAAGGTGTCTGCCTTGAGCGGTATGCTCTTATAAAGAAGTACTTGTTGTTAATTGTCATAGAATTGGTTCTGACTCATAATGACCCTTTATAGGGTTTCCAAGGCTGTACATCTTTGAAGGAGCTCAAACCGCTGACTTTGTGGTTAGCAGTCCAGTGTTTATCCTCAGAGCCACAGTGCTCACTGGAATTAACTATATGGGATCAAACTGACAACAAGAATTTGTCAGCTTAGATGGGAACAGTATTGTATGTCAATGGGAAGGAACAACTAGTTCAGAGAAGGAGGATGAGAATGGTCGTAGAACTCAAAGAAAGGAATGGCCATGGTGGTGGTTGTGGTCGTGGTTATGCCAGTAAGTTGGCTCTGACTCACAGTGGCCCTTTAAAGGGATCCAAGACTGTAAATCTAATGTTAGCAGAAAAGTCTTATCTTTCTCCCAAGCAAGTGGTAAATTCAGACTGCTTACTCTGTGGTTAGCAGCCCTGCTCATAATCCACTACCTACCAGGTCTCTGTAAAAGAAAGTAATAAAGGCCACTAAATATTATATGTTAAAATATATATAGAGAGAGAAGAATGTCATAAAATGCTATGAAAGCACATTGAGAAGAGAACAAATAGTTGTAGAATTATATGTCCTAGACCTTTATATTTATTGTCTGACAGTAACTTGTTGTTAAGTGCCGTTGAGTCATTCCAACTCACAGTGACCCTGTAGAGGGTTTCCAAGGAGCAGCTAGTGAGCTGCTGGTGAACTTGAACTACCTTGCGGTTCAAACTGACTTTGTAGTCCAGCACATTTATCCACAGCATCACACCAGGACTCTTTACAATAACTTAAGGGGTAGTTATTTTTCTTTTGTTTTCTTTTGTTTTTAAAGATGAGTAAATGGAAGTTCCAGAGATCAATTTAAAGACTTAAAGCCTTAGAAACCCTACACAATGTCGCTAGTCAGAACGAACTCCATGGCACTTAACAGCTACAACATGCTCTTACCATTCGTTAAAGCTAAAAGTCAGATGCAAGTCTATTTTATGTGTCTTCTCCACTGAGAGTTTCTGAGTTGTTACACTTCTAGAGATTCACTCAGATTATGGTCAATGAAAAAAATTCATTTTAGAAACAAGAACTGTAACGTTCAATTTATGATCCTAGAGATTATATTTAAAATATGCATTAAATGCAATGTGATAGAAAGTGTAAATGTTTTCTGAAAAGAATCACTTGCATAGAGAAAATTGCAGTGATTCTAAGTGTACAGTGCAGGAAATTTTCACTGCACCCATTTAGCCAGAACCCAAATTAAGAGACTATTATTAGTACCTCAAAAGCCTCCACCCCTTCATGGCTTCTCCCAATTTAAAGTCAAGGTCACCGAGGTGAATATCCATGCGCATTAACTGTTTTCTGTCATATTTTCTCTATAGGATGTATACATAAAGCTTTCCCATGGTCTGGTCAGTTGAAGATTGCAATTTAAACTAAGCTTCCTATGTCCTTTGTATACTATATGTGAGAAAGTGGGAATAAAACTGAAAAGATGAACTGGAAATAATGAGTCTCCTTTCGTATATCTTTCCCAGCACCTTCCATGCCAGTATATGAACTGGAAACACCTCTGAATCAGACTGACAATACGGTGACGGTCCTGTTGAAACCCGCACAAAGCAGAGGTGCCCCTGTCAGGTAAGCAGGAAGGCTGGCTGGTTCAAACAGAAGGTTAGAGTCCAATCTATTAATGCTTTGAATATGTTTTCCAATCATTTGCTACAAACCGTAGTCTGCATGTAAACTGTATCTTTATTAGCTCTAATTAAAAGAAGTGAGAGAAAAGTGAAAGTGCTTTTGATGTGGCTTGTTCAAGTATTGTTTAAAAGGCTCTGCCTCTGATACAAGTGGGTTGTCCTTTGAAGATCAGGAACAAAGCCCCTGCAGGGTAGGGAGCTTGACTTCTAAAGGGGGATTGCTTGCTGCAGTTTAGGAATTCAAGGGAAGTTGACATTTCATCCTGAGCTATTTTCCTTAAATTGGACTTTATTATCTGGTAATCTAGGATAGTAAGTCACATAACTTTTCGTAAATTGCTTAATTTCTCAATTGAATATGTGATGTATAATTATAGATGTAAGACCAATATATGAGTGTCTAGAAAGATTAGTTTGGAAAAAATGTCCGTAGTACTTGTAAACTAAATGGGGTATATTAAAATTTCAGTATTTCATTTGATGTTTAGAGGAATGAGAACTCTGATTAAGGAATCCTGGGGATCTGAAATCTAAAGCCATAATGTACATTAAAAAAAACATTTGGACACATCTGGAAATTTGCAAAATGCACTGTACTACAAGAAAGTTTTTCCCAAATGATAAGATAAATACTAGAAGAAAGTGTATAAATAAATGAAAGTGAACATCTGTTTGCTTCCCTGGATTTGCATTCCCTGGATTTGTCATTGTATGATTTCCAAAGCCCATTCTTTCAATTGATTTGATTTTTTAAATCCATATTCCTTGGTGTTGAAAATTCAGTTGTAATTCATTTCTGCACTTCACTAAGTAAGGTGGTTGTGTATTGATTCCACAAAGACATGCAGCTTGGTTAATGCAGATTCTTGAAATTGCACTAAATGCTCAATGTAAATGATTGTTGTCTGTTTATTGATCAGCACATCAGTTCTGTCAGATAAAATTATTTAAATCCTGAGATGACCTAGAAGAACACAAATTCTATCATTCCAGCTAGTAAACTAGTACCTAGGACAGAATTTTAATGTTTGTTCACATATCCAATATTTCCTTTAGTTTAATAAGACAGGAAAAAGCTTAATTTTCTTTTCCTCATTTGGAATCACCTCATTTCTCTCTTCTTCTCTCCACTGCTCATTACACGCAGACCCATCCACCAGAGAAAACCATTATCGCTTGGCAGAAACAGAACAGCTCTAAATAAAGAATGAATTATACACACACACTGGTGTGCTTTTCTTGCACTAACAAAAATGTTTTCTGTAATTTTACTGTGTGATACACACACAAACACACACAATAAGGTAACTGAAAAAAGACAGCTACTAGGATTCTAGTTCATACATGATTCTTTCCATTTGTTCGTAGATGTTTTAGAACAATAATTTTTTTACCTGCCTTCGTGCGTGTATATGTGTAATCTATTTGTGTGCCATAGACCTCATTAATGAAGTCTTAGTCTTGTTTAGTCTTTTTAATTTTTTGTGTTTTTTTTTAAAAAATATACTTGATTATGCTAGCTGAATGTTCTGGTAATCATTTCCGTGAAATTTGAAGTTTATCATTTAAGTATTTATTCTTTGATTTATTCTTTCTGGAAAAAAACTATTGTTTGTGTATGGGAAAATGTCTGTCACAGTCAAATAGGCATCATTATGGGGAGGTGGCAGTTACTGCTTCAGAAATTAAAAGTAGATTCTTAAACATGTGACTATAATTCTAATTTATGGCAATCACTTAGTTTTCCTAATAAAATCAATCCCAATTAATTTAATGTTGTTGTTTTTATTATCATCGTCATTGATTATGTTTGTCCTCACATTAAACGTTCCCATAACAATTATCTATAAAAAGCAGTCTATCAACAAGTTCTGTTGCTGCTAAGAATTAGAGCAAAAATCCTAATGCCAATAAGAACACTGCTACATTTTGAACAGGGAAGAGATGGCATAAAGAATAGAAGTGGTAGTAGCTGTGCCTACCTCTTAGACCTCATTCTCCAACCTACCACCCTCCTCCCCAAACCTAGGTCTTTTGACTCTGCCAACCATTTTGTATAGTTCCGTATATACCATTTTCTTCTCCTTCATCTTTCAGGGAGACTTTGAGCATCCTGTCACTTCTACCAGGTACTCAGTTCACTTTCTGTCTCCCTGAGGTAATCCTTTTATCCTGCAAAACCCACCCAGATGTCCCCACCCCCTGCTGGCTTTTGATCTCCTTCCAGTAGAGCTAATCACTCACACTACTGGCCCTTCTTCATACTTCATTATGATTTCAGTTATGGCTAAGACAGCAGCTGTGTCTCATTTATTTTTGCATCTCCAACAATAATCAATGAAAGTTTGCTAAAGTTAAAGGGGGAAAAAATTGTGATTGCTGTCTTCTGGCTTTACCAAATTGAAGTGATTTTAAGATCTCCTCCATTCTTTAGAGAATAATTACCACATGAGCAAAGTAAACCAATATTGAAACATTCATATAGCTAACACCTTTCAGGGCCTACTATATGCTAGATACTCTGCTAAGAACTATAAGAATTTCCACATCCTGAAGACAAATCTGGCATGGGAATAGCTAACCATGTTACATGATGTAGCAACTGCTTTAGTCAAAGGCATGGAGAAATGGAATGGGAACGCTAGGAAAATGATCCTGTTTTAAGTCGTTTTGTTGGGCTAGAGTCAGAATATAGTTCTTCAATGAACAGTTTTGTAAAATGTCCCAGAGCTTTAAAATAGAAATATATGTTTGTGTATGTACTACAGAACTTTTAAAAGATAATGGAAAATGGAGTTAAAAGATAAAAATTAAAACAAATTTCATTTCTCTGTATAATCTTCATCAAATTCAAGACAATTTTGTAAACAACGATATCAGCCATTTATTCTATTTCTAAAGAACTGAGGATACTAGGAATTTAACATGCCAGTGCACTCTATTTTACATAATGTTTTATTGTTATTAAGTGCTGTTAAGTTGGTTCCGATTCATAGCAACCCTCTATAGGTTTTCTGAGGAGTGACTGGTGGGTTTGACGTGCAGAACGTATGGTTGGCAGTCAAGTAACTTGTCCTACAGTGACACATCATTAACTGAAGAAAAATGAGTGCTCTCTAAAGACTTTTTAAAATTAGTAAACAAAAAGGAGGCAGAAAGAGCCAAACCTGGACTGTAAGGTGGATGCTTCACAGTTCCCATGGAAACTCTCTCAAAAGTATGCTCATTTGCTGAAGGAAATGAACAGAAGCATTGTCATGGTGAAGATCTCTCTGGGGAGGCTAATGCCCAGCTAACATCCTCAAAACTCTCCCCTAATAGTTGATGTTACTTTTATTTGGCCCTCCAGAAAGTCCACAAGCAAAATGACTTGAGCATTCCAAAAAACTGTTGCTATGACCTTTGCTCTTGACTAGTCCACTTTTGTGTTGATTTGACCTCTTAGTAGCCTGTGTTTTGATTGTGCTTTGTCTTCAGGATGATACAGTAAAGTCATGTTTTATCTCTCGTTAAAATTCTTCTAAGAAATGCTTCAAGATCTTGATCCTGTATGGTTCATAACAAACAATGGATACCATTGCAAACAATGGTTTTCCAGAACATTTAGTTGTCCACATGAGGACTCTGTACATAGACAAAGAGGCAGTCGTTTGAACACACCAAGGGGGTACTGAATGGTTTAAAGTTAGGAAAGGTGTGTACTAGGGTTGTATTCTTGCACCATACTTTTTCTGTATGTATTCTGACCAAATAATCTAAGAAGCTGGATTATGTGAAGAAGGATTGGAAAGACTCATTACCAATCTGTGATGAGTAGATAATACAACCTTGCTTGCTGTATGTGAAGAGGACTTAAAATACTTACTGATGAAGATCAAATACTACACCCTTCAATATGTATTGCACCTCAATGTAAAGGAAAATGAAGAACTTCACAACTGTTACATGCATAACATCATGATAAATGAAGAAAAGATTAAGGTTGTTAAATATTTTGTGTGTATGCATCACCAACACTAATGGAAGCAATAGTCAAAAATCAAAAGACGTATTGCATTAGTCAGATCTGCTGCACAAGACCTCTTTAAAGTATTCAAAAGCAAAGATTTCAGTTTGAAGACTAGGGTGTGCCTGACCCAAGCTTTAGTATTTTCAGTCACCTCATTTGTATGTAAAAGTTGGACAATGAATAAGGATAACTGTAGAAGAATTGATACATTGGAATTGTGGTGTTAGAGAAGAATAATGGAAGTATCATGGACTGCCTGGTAATCTGTGTTGGATAAACTAATTTGTGTTGAAAGAAGTACAGCCAGAATTCTCCTTAGAAGCCAGGATAGCAAGACTCTGATTCTCGTACTTTGGACATCAGGAGGGACGAGTCCCTGAAGAAAAACATGTGCTTGGTAAAGTGGAGGAGGCTCAGCGAAAAGAAGGAAGACCCCTAACCAAATGGATTGCACAGTGGTAGCAGCAGTGGCTCAAGCTAAGCAATGATTGTGAGGCTGTTGCAGGGCTGAACATTGTTTTATTCTGCTATGCATGGGGTTGCTTTGAGTTGGAACTGACACTATGGCACCTAACAACAATGAGTAAGAATCGACTACTTGGCAGTGAGTGGGTTGTTTATCCAATATTTTGATCCTGATCTAGAGGATCCAGTTAATTCAGTGATTTGAAAATATGTGTATTATTTATTTATAAAATATGTTATCACTTTACTGTATTTTATTGCTGGAATGACTAAGAAAGAGAACACAAAAATATAAAAGCTCAAAATGCAAAATGTACCATAAGACCCAAAGATTCAGCAATACAAACTTTAAAAGTAGCTTCATTTTTAGTTAGCCTAAACCAGTGTATCATTTAGAAATATACACAAAGCTTTGTAGTATATTAATTATAAACTACTGAGTCTATCAATAATTAATAATGCAGATC